AATGCAGCTTACAGAATTAACTATAATTCTACATTAGTATATAATCATTTTTTTCCCTTCTTCTTGGATTGTCACTTTTTATTGAGTTACTAGAGGTCCGGTACATGAAAATTCATGCAATGGAGAGGGAGTCCCTCAGCCTGGCCTGCCCCCTCTCACAGTCCAGGAGCCCTCAGGGGTGGAAGGTGGCCCGGTGATCAGAGGAAGGCGACTGCCCTATCACACCTCTGCTGCTGTCACCACCGGCAGTGGAAGCTTTGGCCAGCTCTGGTTACTTGAGCCTTTTGCAGCTGGGCAGCCACCATCCGAGGCTTGCCTGCACCTCTGGCCGACCCTGGAGGGCTAAAGGGAATGGGGGACTCCAGAGGCAGGTATACGGAGCTAAGGGAACTGGGCACTGCCATCTTGTGGCTGTGGCTGCCGCCAGCTTTGAGGCCGTGGCAGTCAATTAGCATATTCCCTCATTGGCTGTGGGCACCACCATTGTTGAGGGCGGGGCACTCATTTAGCATTTACCTTCCTTATTGGCTGTGGACACCACCATTGTTGAGGGCGGGGCACTCATTTAGCATTTACCCTCCTTATTGGCTAAGGGTGCCACCATCTTTGAGGGTGGGGCAGTCACTTAGCATACTTCTTCCTTATTGGCTGTGGGTGCTGCCGTTTTGCGATGGTGTGAGGGTCAATTAGAATATTCCCTATTTAGGGGGACCGCGGTGATATGGCCGCGGCACAACTGGTGGTTCTGGGGCTTGTCCTGCTGGGCGTCAAGAGCGGCTCCGTGGCCGGGAGCAATATCTCGACTTCCATACTTGATATTGGCTCCAAAACACGGCTCACCTGCACCTTGGACTCCAATAACACTGCCATCCTGGGACACCGCTGGGTGAAAGGGGACAAGGTGCTGCAGGAGGACTCGGAGACCGGTCTGACAACGCAGTATGAGGTAGACACACACAAGGGCTTGGGACAGTACTTCTGCACCTTCCTCTCGGAACCTGCAGGCAGAACCGCCAGCGTGAATGTGAAGGGCCCCCCCAAGATTAAGACTGTGAAGAAGTCAGAGCATGCCACCGAAGGACAGACAGTTGTGCTGGCCTGCAAGTCTGACTCTTTCCCCCCAGTTACCGACTGGTTGTGGTACAAGATAAAGGACGGTGGGATCCAGGTCTTGACCAACACGTCCCAGAGCAAGGTGGTGGTGTCGTCGGAGACCAAGACGGAGTTGCACATCCAGAACCTAGACCTGGCAGCAGACCCCGGCAAGTATGCCTGCAGTGGCACCAACACAGAGGGCACCGACCAGGCCGTCATCACCCTGCGTGTACGCAACCGCTTCGCTGTCCTCTGGCCCTTCCTGGGTATCGTGGCTGAGGTGCTCCTGATTGTCACCATCATCTTCATCTATGAGAAGCGGCGGAAGCCGGACCAGGGCCTGCATGATGAGGACACGGGCTCTGCTCCGCTGAAGAGCAGCGGGGACGTGAACGACACGACAAGAATGTCTGCCAGAGGAACGCCAACTGCGTGAGGCAGCGAGGAGGAGCCTGTGTTCCAGGCGTTCCTGGTGGTCACACCATTCCAAGTCCTCTCCCCTTAAAGGAAACCTACCCTGCAAAGTAGACCACACTGTTAAATCACATGTTTTCTCTTATTTTTAAAAGAAACTAAGCTAGGGTTTCCTCTGTAGAATTCCATTCCTTAGAGGTTTGGTTTTTTTATTTTTAAGAGCACTCCAGGGGAGCTGCGAGGTTCTGTGGGAAGCCCCTGCTGTCCCCTGCCTATCCCCTCCTTGTCCCTTCCTTGCACCCCCAACCCTGCCCTTGGTGTCCCCTGGCCATTTAATTTAGCCTCTAGTTCGACATGCTGGGGGCTGTGGAGGGCAGACTGGCTTTTCCCTGTGACACCTCCTTCCACAGCTCACCTCCTGCGGCTGCTTTCTGCCACCTCACTGCCCTCTTCAGGAGGGCACAGGTCACAATGCCTGGTGTCCTGCCTGCCTGCAGCAAGTCCCGTCACATCACTGCAGGTCTGTGTGACCTGGTACAGCCTGACTTCATGGCCACCCCTCAGAGTATCCCCTCCCTGCTCCTGCCATCCCCACGCCGGAGGAGGGGGGTCTGGGTGACCATCACGGGGTGTGAGTTGCTGTAACAGTCCCATTCGCATCCATGCACGTGGTGACTGAAGAAAACCCCTCCTCAGTTGGGCCTGAGGTTTCTTCCTTCATAGCATCCTGACTTACATGGGAGCCCCCAACCCCAGCTGCCTGCTCACCAATAAAGGCTGACCCACCTCTTCAAAAAAAAAAAAAAAAAAAAAGAGGAATATTCCCTATTTACTAGATAGGATAACGACCTGTGCAGGTTTATTGGTACCAGTCACCCCAAACCCTCCCCCAAGGTGGTAGGTCTTACATTTATTCTATTGCTGTTTATCAAACCATTTTATTTGGGTTTCAGTTTCTAATTATTTTTAATTCCTAAAGGAACTCTCATTTTGGAGTTTAGGATTTTTGTTAAAATTGCTTTCAAAGTCCACATAGCTAATTTGAAATATCCAAAATAGAATACCCCTGTGCTTTAAAACTGGGTTTGATTTTTTTTTTTTTTAAATAGCTGGAAGGTATTTCTTAAAACTATTAACATGATTTCTTAAAGTAATGTAATAACTGGCCCTTCAAGGTGACTATTTTAAGGCAAAGACTTCCCTTGAATGCGAACATATTGTTTGACTTAAATATTTATTTAAAAATCAATTTTGCCCAACCAGTGTGGCTCCAACAGTTGAGCATCGACCCAGGAACCAAGAGGTGGAGTGTTCGAGTCCCAGTCAGGGCACATGCCTGGGTTGCAGGCTCGATCCCCAGTAGGGGGTGTGCAGGAGGCAGTCAATTGATGATGTTCCTCTCTCATTGATATTTACATCTCTGTATGCCTCTCCCTTCCTCTCTCTCTAAAATATCAATAAAAACATTTAAAAAAATAAAAATCAAGCTTGTGTGATTTATTTATGCCACAGACATCTTGATTTATCTATTAATTTAGAAGTTTCCTGAGGGCAGGAATCATACATTCATTTATTCTATAATTTTTTTAACAGTATATGGTAGTTGGCACTTAATATTCACTGAACAGATGTATATCTAAACTATTATACTATGCTTTTTTCTATCTTCCTTCATTAGAGAAGAAGGTACTGTTTTGTTTCAGGTTTGTTTGTTTTTGTGTTGTTTTTTTTGTATTGATTTTAGAAAGAAAAAAAGGTGGAGAGACATTGATTTGTTATTCTAGTTATTTAAGCATTCATTGGTTGTTGTTTTTTTATTGATTTAAAAAAATTTTACAGAGAGGAGGGGAGAGGGATAGAGAGTTAGAAACATCGATGAGAGAGAAACATCAGCTGCCACCTGCACACCCCTTACTGGGATGTGCCCACAACCAAGGTACATGCCTTTGACTAGAATTGAACCTGGGGCTTTTCAGTCCTCAGGCCAACACTCTATCCACTGAGCCAAACCAGTCAGGGCACATTGGTGGTTCTTGTATGGGCCTTGACCGGAGAGCTAACTGAGCTTTGAATTATCTTAATTTTTCTAAAGTTTTGATAAATTTTGTCAACAAGTAGGAGTCTCTCTGTCTCTTAAAATAAAGTATCCATAATATATCTGGTCTTAGCTGAATCTTTAAAACAAAACAAAACAAAGCAAAAAAACATTTAGTAAGTATTTACTTTAAAGAAATAATTTCCGCCAAAACCGATCTGGCTCAGTGGATAGAGCGTCAGTCTGCAGACTGAAAGGTCCCAGGTTCGATTCCGGTCAAGGGCATGTACATGGGTTGCGGGCACATCCCCGGTAGGGGGTGTACAGGAGACAGCTGGTCGATGATTCTCTCTCATCAATGTTTCTAGCTCTCTATCCCTCTCTCTTCCTTTCTGTAAAAAATCAATAAAATACATTTTTTTATAAAGAAGAAAAGAAATAATTCCCAGCAATGTCTTTTGGCTTATAAAGTGGAACTTGAGTCCCTCTAGTGGATGGAGTATAATTCACTTTCCGAGCTTGAAACAGGAAGATGAACCAGCTTTCAAACACTGTTCTCATCTGCACTGGTGTCCCCTCTCCCCAACTAAGAGGCAGTGCTTAGTTGGTCAGTTGATTGGCTTGAACATTAGACAAGATTCACCAGTCCTTCTCATCTGCCCATGTGATCCTGGTACCCTGGTCATTCTAGCATGTGATCTCACAAGCTATGCCTCGCCAGCTTTTCTCTCAAGCTTCAGCAATTTAAACTCAGATGACAAGTTGGTGCTTTTCAGCCATGCAGTTCTTTATAGAAAAGAACACAGTGCCCCTAGGGTTTTTGAGTTGCCCTGAAGGAAGTATATACAGGCCCATTTGGGGCACAAGTAGATTAAGGACATTTACTTATTGGAGTTGTTGTTACAGACTGATGGCCAGAAGCATGGTATGGCAGCAGAAGGACCTGGGTTTGGGATTCACATCCTAACTTTGCAGTTAACTACCTATGTGACCTTGAGCTGGTTAGTCTCTCTGTCTTAGTTCTCCCTTCTGTAAAATGGGGAGGTGCTAAACCTATTTTCTAGAGTTAAGTATTAAATATTAAAAATAAACATGCAGCCCTAGCCAGGTGGCTCGGTTGGTTGGGTGTCATCCTGTACACCAAAGGGTTTGGGTTTGATCCGCAGTTGGGGCACATGAGGAAAACAACAGATTGGTGTTTCTCTCTCACATTGATGTTTTTCTCTGTCTCTCTCCCTTACCCTCTTTCTAAAAATCAATAGAAACATAGCATTGGGTGAGGATTAATTAAAAAAAAAAAACAACAACACAAAAAAAATGTCAAAGAAAAGCCTTTGTGTTTTGAGTGCTCTATGATTGATAGCAGAAGTTATGGAAATTTCCCTGAGTTCATTACAATGCATTCGATTATTTCTATAACTTTCCCCTCTGTTCCCATTCCTCCTTTTTCTTTCAGTCACCACCAAGTAAGCGAAGAAAATTAGAGAAGCCGAGGAAACCCATCACGTTTGTAGTGTTGGCGTCTGTGATGAAAGAATTATCCCTCAAAGCATCCTCTTTGGGCTCTGAGACAGTGGAAGAAGGCATAGTAGTTGTGACAACATGGATTGAAAAAATTCTCACTGATCTTAAGGTACCTGGTTATATACATTGAAAAAGTACTTATATCTTTTTACTTTATTTTCCTTTAAAAAAAAAAGGGGGGGGGAGAGTTGTTTTGAGAGTTAAAAAAGTGATTTCATATAAAATTCTGTTTTTTTTCTCTAAATAGGTCCAGCATAAACGAGTTCCGTGTGGAAAGGGGGAAGTTAGCCTTTTCCTAACAGCCATAGAAAACTCCTGGATTCATTTAAGGAGAAAGAAAAGAGAACGAGTGAGACAATTGAGAGAAGTCCCTCGAGCTCCTGAGGACGTCATCCAAGCTTTGGAAGAGAAGAAGCTCCCCCCCGAAGAGTCCGGCGGCAGCCACGACGTGGCCCCGGGCCCCCGGAACAGTGTCCTGTGTGGGCCTGCTCCCCTGGAAGGCGAGCCAGCCACTGTGGAGGGCCACGGCCCAACCCCGGAGGCGCTTTCCCAGGAAGGAGACCCAGGACCCGTGGAGGATGAAAGGAGTGAGGAAAGGGGAGACATGGAGGTTTTGGAAAGCGGTAAAGGCTCTAGCAATGGAGCCCAGGACCGAGAGGCTTCTGAGCGGCTCAGCAGCCCATTGTCTGAAAAAGAGACCCCTCTCCAAGGAGTGGCTGGACATTACCTTTTCAAGTGTTTGATAAACATTAAGAAGGAGGTCGATGATGCCTTAGTTGAAATGCACTGGGTTGAGGGTCAGAACAGGGATCTGATGAACCAGCTTTGTACCTATATACGTAACCAGATCTTAAGGCTTGTTGCCAGTTAACTCCAAACTTCGTGCATAGTTGGAAAAGTTCTACAAAGCAGCTTGCTTGCAGTGGCCTGTGGGGTGGCAAGAGAAATTCTGCCATGGGCCTATTGGCAGCATTATGTGGAATTACCATTAAAAACAAAAACAAATAAATTCGTTTTTAGACCTCCCCCCAATCCACTTTTTTTAAGTTGCAGGGCACTGTAGTGTGGTAGTCCAGGAGGAAGAATTGTGATTATCAGCATCAACAAAAAGCCATCAGAAAACTCATAATGGATCTAAACCTGAGTTAGTCTGATTACCTTAGCTTTAGACCGCTTCTCTGAGGCCAAAAGGATTATTTTTGGAATCTGGTCTGGATCAGAACCGCACAGAGCATCCTGCTTTCTCGTCCCCCAGATGGAGGCAGTCCACCTGGGCAGTAGGCTCTGTACCCTCTTCCAGAGTCACCTTCAAGACTGAAGCCTTTCCCTGGGTACATGTGATTGCCTGCCTCTGAGTCAGTCCTCGGGAAAGATCTGGCCGGATGGTAGGAGAAGGGAGAGTCAGGGAGAGGAAGCTTAGTGATGCCAGGAGAGGGCTGCTCTGGGGAGTGCCTGGAAACGTCACATTCCTGACTCATGTCCGTTTTGATGTTGCTTATTCCAGAAACAATTAGGTAAGCAAAACTCCCAGATGTGCGTGACTGAGACACGACAGAATGAAGCCATACCCCTACCTCCAACCTGTTGAAAGTACTGTTTGTAGTAGTTTTACTAATAATGACATTTGAAATGGAGCTTCGTTTTGTTTTTAATATAAGAGTAATTCTGAATTGAAGACTGTCCCTCCTGTTTGAATCCTCAATATATTCTTGAGGTTGATTGGGTAAATGATGATAAAAATAAGAAATGGAGTAAGCAGTAGGTTGCTTAAGAAATTCTCATCTATTGGCAGATCAGTTGTAGCTGATCAGTTACTACTTTTATATTGGTTCCTTAGTAATCCCTTCTGTGCTTATATACATTGAAAAAGTACTTGTATCTTTTATCTTTTATTTCCTATGCTGTTAGCATAGGAGAATTCTGAGGCCAGCATAAGCATATTCTTAAAACACGTTTCTCATTGGAATGTCAGGGCTCAGCAGGAATGCCTCTGGGAAAAGTTTCTTTTTTTATTCTCTTGGTGTTTAGGGTACTCTCTGCTGAGCTTCACTTTCAGCAGTGTAGTGTTCTACCTAGTCTGAAATGTTTTTAGTATGGTGCCAGACAGCATCCCGTGTTCCCTACAAAGAAGACCGAGCAGAGCAGTTAAGTCACACTTTAGAAAGGTGGCTATTGGTTAGGGCAGAATACTGATGACCTTGGCATATTTTGGTGGTAGCTAGGCCAGGCCCTCAGCAAAGATACAGGAAATGAAAATGGGATTGTGTTATACCTCCCTATAACTACAGAAGATACCATATTAACCCATCGGTGTTCTTAACCTGATCCGTGAGCCTCAAGAGAATCATAAACCTGGATTGTTTTTATTTTATTAAAAAAATTTTTTAAATCTATTTTTATTGATGTCGGAGAGGAAAAGAGAGGGAGAGAGAGAAACATCAATGATGAGAAAAAAATCATTGATCGGCTGCTTCCTGCACTCCCCTCACTGGGGATCGAGCCTGCAATCCTAGCATGTGCCCACACCAGGAATCAAACTATGACCTCCTTGTTCATAGATTGACACTCAATCACTGAGCCATGCCAGCCAAACCTGGGTTGTTTTTAAAAGCTTGCCGAAACAAGTTTGGCTCAGTGGACAGAGCTTCAGCTTGTGGACTGAAAGGTTCCAGGTTCGATTCCGGTCAAGAGCATGCACCTTGGTTGCGGGCACATCCCCAGTAGGGGGTGTGCAAGAGGCAGCTGATCAGTGATTCTCCCTCATCGATGTTTCTAACTCTATCCCTCTTCCTCTCTGTGAAAAATCAATAAAATATATTTTTAAAAAAAAAGCTCTGTGAGCATATGTGTTTTGTTTTGTTCCTGAGGAGAAGGTTCCTGACTTAGAGAGAGCAGTCAGTAACCCACTCAGGATTAGGAACCACAGTTCTAGTCAACCTCTCATTTGACAGGATGAGGAGACCCATCTTGGCCTAGGGTCACAAAGAACCAAGATTTAATGCATAGCCCTGGATTCCTCTGGTCCAGGAATCTCCTGTGCTCACCCACACCAGCCTGTTGTATTGACCTCTGATGACACATTTGAATCATATGCCAGACTCAAACCAAGGTAAATTTCTATCTTGTTAGAATTTTAGGGTAATTGAGTTAGGTGGCAACTAGTGGCCAATTTATTTTTTGCCTGTTTGTGTCATTTAAAAAAGAATCTAGCATGTGCTCATTAAAAGATTTGGAAAAGTGGAAGAAAACAGCAACAAATTCACTCCTAGTCTCAACGTTCTTAAACATAGCCACTAATGGTATTTTAGTATTTCTTTTAGTCTCTCTGTAGATAAGGTGTGTGATTGGGTTTAACTTTGGTTGTACTCATGCTGTGTATTTTATATTATGCTTTTTTTTCATTTAATACCTTGTATTTTTCAATATTATAACAGTGGTGTATTTATTTATACTCCTTGCCTAATCAAAATGTATTTCAGGCACAGTATTAGCCGTTTTTAGAGCTAGAGAATAAGCTATATAACTGGAGGACCAAAGATGTGTGCCAGTTTCATTGCCCAGGTTTTAGACTTGGTGTCATGGAGGAGGTTTTATAGGTGTTGCCAATGCACTTAGAGTTTAAAGGGTATGTGACAAGGGAAGCTTCCACTGCTAGAGCTGTGAGTGTCTTTGCATTTGGATATCTAATGAGAACACTGAAAACATTTTAAAACATATATTTTTATTGATTTCAGAGAGGAAAGGAGAGGGAAAGAAATAAAAACATCAACGATGAGAGAGAATCATTGATCGGCTGCCTCCTGCACGCCCAATTCTGGGAATTGAGCCTACAAACTGGGCATGTGCCCTGACCAGGAATCGAACCATGACTTCCTGTTCATAGGTTGATGCTTAACCACTGAGCCATGCTGGCTGGGCCATTGAAAACATTTTTTTAAAATATATTTTATTGATTTTTTTTACAGAGGAGGAGAGAGGGATAGAGTACTAGAAACATCAATGAGAGAGAAACATCGACCAGCTGCTTCTTGCACATCCCCTAACAGGGATGTGCCCACAACCAATGTACATGCCCTTGACTGGAATCGAACTTGGGACCCTTCAGTCCGCAGACCGATGCTCTACCACTAAGCCAAACCGGTTTCGGCTGAAAACATTTTTAAAAGACACCTAAAAACTTTTTTAGGGTTCTAACTGGTTTGGCTCAGTGGATAGAGCGCTGGCCTTCGGACTGAAAGGTCCCAGGTTCAGTTTCAGTATAGGGCATGTACCTCGGTTGTGGGCGCATCTCCAGTAGGAGCTGTGCAGGAGGCAGCTGATCGATGTTTCTCTCCCATCGATGTTTCTGACTTTTCCTCTCTGTAAAAAATCAATAAAATATATATTTTTTAAAAATTCTTTTAGGTATGCATGTACTTTATAATTGTGTGATATGTGATGTGATAGCATACCTTTGGGATGGGGGGAAAGGGAATTTATTTTCCTTAAAGAAATAGGTTATTGCCCTGACTGGGTGGCTCAGTTGGTTAGGCTTTGTCTTGTGCACTGAAAGGTCACCACCAGGTCCACTTCCAGTCAGGGCACCGGGGCACATACTCACCTTGTGGGCTTAATTTCCTGGTCCCGGTGCAGCCAATATGGGAGGCGGCCAGTCTGATGTTTCTCTCTTTCTCCTTTTCTCTCTAACAAAATCAATAAAAACCTTTATTTTATTTTTTTTTTAAGTTATTGACCCATGTATGGTGTTGAATGATAATTGCCTTAAATGTCTGGAGGTCAAGTTCATATTGATGGGTTGGTATGGAATTAAATGTTTGTGGTATGATCTTAAATTCTATTCTGGTCCCTGGCACTGGCTTCTGATCTTCTACAACTCAAATGGGAACAGAAGCTGAACTTGTTTTCCAAGGAGGACTAAAGCTGCTTTTGTTCTTTGGAATCTGTTTTGTTTCCAACAGTTTGCTTCTCTCACCCCACATCCTTGCCTGGTTTTTCACTTATCAGAGCAATGCTCCATGTCCTAGCAGGGTTGGCATCTCTGTGGTAGAGTTTCAGCTAATCTTAAAGGTTCATATTGATAACTATGATGTGATTACACCAACTTCTACAAGTAATAAAACTGCAAGGTATGGAAAACACGAAGCCTCTTAAAAGTGGCAGCAGCACCCGGCCAGCATGCTCAGTGGTTGGTCACTGACCCATGAACCAGGAGGTCACAGTTTGATTACTGGTCAGGGCACATGCCCGGGTTGTGGGCTTGATCCAAAGTAGGGGGCATGCAGGAGAGTGATTATCTTTCATCATTGATGTTTCTAACTCTCCCTCTCCCTTCTTCTCTCTCAAATGAACTAAAAACAAAAAACAAAAAAAAAGCATCTTAAACCACAGCATTTTCCTCTGTGGCCACACGGGGGCACCTTTGGCCCCTTTTTCAAACGCCTTAACTGCACTGTGGGAATGGAGCAAATTGTGCGCTTGGTATTTTCTTGAAATACCCATTTGCTACCCAGATAAATATTTTTATGTAAATAAAATTTGAAAAATAAAGGTAGAAAGAAGAGAAAAATCCATTACCCTATGGTGTTTTTATCTGGACATAATTTTTCAACTTTTTATGTTTATGGTCACAGTGGACTATATTTTTCTTTCTTTCCATCTGTCCTGCTACTCTAGAATATATCCAAGTAGGGTCAGTCCTTTGGATCAAATTTTTTTTTTTGGTATCTAGTTAATTAGGGTGGATGGTTAGTGAGCTTACACAGTAACTTTTACTCTTGTTATACGAAGAGTAATACAGAGAGTTATAAGAAAGAAACTGTTTTCAATGTTCTTTTGTCTTTTCATTCTTTTGGTTTATCTGGCTGGCTGACTAGCATGCATGTAATGTGTTGTTTACATGAATAGATGGCACAGTTGGCTCTTTGTTGGTATGTATTTTAATAGGTTAGCTGGGCCTGGGCCTCCTTTCCCACAAGGGCTGTTTCTGTGTAGAACATGTATATTACTAACCTGGGGTCTGTGGGCTCAGGAAGAAGTTCCATCCACCCTTATTTGCGTGGCACATAATCAGATGTTCTAAGTGGCCACCCAACAGATCTGCATAGTAGGAGGAAGAAGGTTCATTTTGGAAAATCAAGGAGCCCTCTGAGAGTAGGAAAGTCTCAAAGATAACAGCAGTTTTTTTGTTTTTGTGTGTGTGTGTGTGTATGTGTGTTTAATATATTTTTTTTGATTTTTTACAGAGAGGAAGGGAGAGGGATAGAGAGCTAGAAACATTGATGAGAGAGAGACATCGACCAGCTGCCTCCTGCACACCCCACACCAGGGATGTGCCTGCAACCAATGTACATGCCCTTGACCGGAATCGAACCTGGGACCTTTCAGTCCGCAGGCCGACGCTCTATCCACTGAGCCAAACCGGTTTCGGCAATAACAGCAGTTTTATAGCCATCCAGGAAGCACCCCTTGGAAAGGAAGCTGGTGCTTGGGAGACTGGATTTGCTGAATGGACAGTAACCTCAGTAAAACTCAGAGGTGGCTTGCTAGTAGAATAAATTGGCTTCTGCCTCCTGGAGCAGGGCCTTTGAGGTCCCAAACCTTCCTAATGCTCCCAGCACAAATCTCTAGGTGCTCGAGCCAGCACAGTATTAGCCCTACATGGGTCTCACCCCACAAGCAGCAGGGCCTCACATACATGCCAGAGAGTTCCCACTCTGCTCTGTAAAGGCATTCAGATCCTCTGCGGTGCCTCGCCCAAATGACTAAAGCAGCGGTTTATTATTTTAATTGCTGGTTGGAGCAGCTAATGCCGCCTTTTGGAGGATATGCTTTTACTCCAGGGACTATGTTGTGGCTGAGTGAGGCCTTGCACCGCCAAATGCCCTTTGAGGTGTAGCCTACCCGCCTGTCTCAGCTCAAGCAAAAATATCAGGGACTCTGGGCTCTCCTCTGGGAAATGGAAGAGCCAGGGAAATGAGATAAGAAGGAATGAACTAGAAAGTGCAAGTGAACTTGGCATAATTGGCTTGTATAGTTGTTCTTAAGAGGGCAAAGGATGTTTAAATCCTACACTATTTAGCCAACCTAAGGGAATGAAAAACAAAAAAGCACAGGCCTCACAGCTTATCAGACCTTAGTTTACATTCCAGTTCCACTTACAGGATAAGTCCATTTCACTAAGCCGTGGCTTCCTCATTCAAAAGATGAGGAATTCTTGCTTCTCAGAGTTAGAGCTGCAGTGAAATGAGAGAAGTACGAAAACATCTGAAAGGGCAAACAAAGAGTGGGCTTCCCAACTTGTTCATTTCTTTGTATTCTTTGAGTTTTCAATTTCTAGGCAGGAAATCTTCTAGTACATTCAAGTGAAAAGTCCCAAGACCTCAAGTATAAAATTGCAGGTGTATGCTATCACTTTTTGAACAGGAGCAAAAGTGAAGCTTCTATGTACCGCAGAAGTGAACAATATTGATTGGCTGTCTTTATATAAATTGTATCATTTAGTAACCCTGCGAAGTGGTATGGTGTCCTTGTGTGATAACTTAAAGAGATGAAAGCTCAGAGAACTTAAAGTGACTTGTCCTAAGTTTACTCACAAAGCCAAGTCAAAGAAATGAGATTTGAACCCAGGCCCAAACACCCAAGATAACAGATCTCACAATTTGGAAATAAAGTTCCATGCTAATTTGACCCACCTCTAGGGAAGGAGACGTCAATTATTTGACACAGGGAAGAGACAAAAAGCATCTTTTACCCATTCTAATCACTTAGCACTTTAAGGTTATATTATTTTCCAGCCTATGATCAATGAGAAAGATTTAATGAGTGAAATTACTTGTGATTAGTTCTTAATTTATGCTACCAAATTTTCATAGAGTTTTGTATTTGGCAGTAGTGCGGATCATTAAGGAGTTAGTAAAACCACAAAATAAAATTCTAGAGCATGTACATGTTGGATCAGAATCAATGTAAAATAACTAAATAACTGATAATTAGGTAATGAGTCCCACACAATACCTAATTGTATAATAATTGAAGAAGGGTTTTAAAATATTTTAGTAGACAGCACTAAATATTTCAAATGCAGAACACAAAACTGATGTGCTTTTTAATCTCGCTGGAGAGGATAGTGATTGTCAGAAAACTAGCAAGTTGTCTTCCCAGGTAGTGTGAATGAACTCAGAATCTGAAGAAAAGAAAAGGCTGCCTGCCATCTGGTGGAGCCATTCAGGGAGGGTGGCCTGAGAGTCTAGAAACCAGAGCCAGGAAATTCTCAGCTGAGGGACTTGGCACTAGCAGCCAGTCCGCCCCTAGAGAAATGTGCTGCTGTTGCTGCTGCTGCGCTGCCGCCATCCAAAAGAGAAGGCCATCCAGGGAGCACAGCTGGGCCTGGGCCTGGGCCTGGGTGAGGCAGGCCTGCTCCCATAAATTGGCTGGAATAGAGGGGTTTCTAGTCTCCTCTGACAGGATCCTTAATTCCAACTGGCTTGTCCCAGGATTCTTGCCTTGAGAGGCAAAGGTGGACATTATGGACCCAACTCTGGCCTGCATTTCAGTGACCTAGATAAGTACTAATAAGGACTTTTTTATCCACAAAGGGAAGTACAGTACTTCCTCATCTGCCCCACAGGCAGGCAACTAGGGATAGCTCATGCTCTGACTAGAAGGAAGTAGCTTTTATTCAGTTCCTGTTGGTTATTGCCATGTAAAAACAGGTGCCCAGTGTTGTTGGATCTTTTCATTTTTTTAATTTGGAATTTATAGATTCCAAATTAAATAAAAGAATTACATATTGTATTACAAATGTCTCCTTTCACCCCCATTGACCTCCCCCAGCCACCCCACCCCCCAGCACATGTCCGCACATCCTTAGTGTCTCTGTCCATTGGTTATGCTTATACGCATGCATATAAGTCCTTTGATTGATCTCTTACTTCCCCTGGATCTTTTCATTTCTTTGAGGGAAGTCAGAAATCCAGATCTGTGAGAAATTTACCTAATTATGAATCCTAATTCGGTATTTTAGGGAAATCTTAGTAGAACCTTTTCTACCTGCAGGTGTTAGAACTGTAACTATTTGCAGCCTTCACTGTCCTCACTCTCACTTACTTCAACTATTGAAGTCTAATTCCTGCCCACTCGCCTTTTTTTTAGTTTTCACTCTAAAATCAATGGGGAAAATTCCTTGGGTGAGAGAGTGAAAGGAAGGGGGAGGGACACAGAGAACCATGGATGTGAGAGAGAGACATTGATTGGTTGCCTCCCCCACACGCAACCTGGGGGCCCGGAATCGAGCCTGCAAACAAGGTATGTGCCCTTGACGGAATCAAACTCAGGACCCTTCAGTTCGAGGGCCGATGCTCTAACCATGGAGCAAAACTGGCTAGGGCTAGAGTTTTCATCTCCTTCTAGATATATATATATATATATATATATATATATATATATATACACACACACACACACACACACACACATATATATATATATATATTTTGGGAGGGGGGGTGTGGATTCCACATATGAGTGAGATCATGTGATACTTGTCTTTCTCTGACTGGCTTATTTCACTTAGCTTAATACTTCCAGGTCCCTTCATGCTGTCTCAAAGGGTAAGAGATCCTTCTTTTTTTACTGCTGCATAGTATTCCATGGTGTGAATACATCACAGATTTTTTTATCCACTTATCTACTGATGGGTACTTGGGCTGTTTCCAGATCTTAGCTATTTTAACTTGTGCTGCTATAGTCTTGATCACCAGACATCCTCCCAGCTGTTCAGTTATCTCTTGTCCCTCTCCTTCAGTACCAGGATTAAAATCTTCCCCCTCCGAATTATCTTCCAAATCAGGCTCAGCCTCTCCATCCCTAGTGCCACTGCCTCAGTGCTGTTCATCTCACCTGAACTGTAAGGGTAGTCCGCACCATTTCTGGGGAACTTTGGAGCGAAGCATCGAAGAGATCAGCTTTAGATGGGTTTGGGGGAGGGGGAGAAATATGCTTTGGGGGGTAAAATGGGACAGCTTTCAGAATAAAGACTAGTTGGGAAGTAGACCCACAGCAATAGATCAGGCTGGTTGAGAATAAGAAGTATGAGCCCCTGGCCAGGTAGTTCAGTTGGCTGGAGCATTGTCCTGCAAGAAAAGGTTTCAGGTTCGATTTCCGGTCAGGACACAGCTAGGTTGTGGATTTGATCCCCAGTTGGGGAACATATGAGAGGCAACCGATCATTGTTTCTCTCTCATTCTCTCTCTAAAATCAATAAAAACAGTGGTTGGGCATTGACCAGGAGGTCACAGTCAAGCCATCAGGGCCCATGCCGCACTGCAGGCTCAGTCTCCTCTGGGGGATGTGCAGAAGGTAGCCATCGATGATACTCTCATCACCGATGTTTCTGTCTCTGTCCCACTCCCTTTCTTTCGCTGGAATCAGTAAGTAACTGCCAAAGTCCAAAGTATCCCCATAATATTGTGAATTTAATTTAAAAAAAACAATTTGCAATGACTATTATAAAAATAAATATATTACAGTTCAGGTGTTCTTGAATATTTTTAGCTGAAAATTCTCATGAAAAATGACTTTAAAGTTGGTCAGGGCTGCCATTTAGGAATATATATATATTTTTTATAGATATGAGTGGCGGGTGTGGAAGGTCCTTTGTTTGAGTTTCCAGATGCCTACAATGGGTTAAAAAAAAAAAAAAAAAACACTAAAAATCAACAAAAGCATATCCTCAAGTGAGGATTTAAAAAAAAAATAAGTATGGCCGAAACCAGTTTGGCTCAGTGGATAGAGCGTAGGCCTGCGGACTGAAAGGTCCCGGGTTCGATTCTGCTCAAGGGCATGTACATTGGTTGCGGGCACATCCCCAGTAGGGGGTGTGCAAGAGGCGGCTGGTCGATGTTTCTCTCTCATCGATGTTTCTAACTCTCTATCCCCTCTCCCTTCCTCTCTATAAAGAATCAATAAAATATATTTTAAAAAAAAGTATGAGGCCTTTCCTGATAAAGCTCATAAAATTTTCCCCCCTTTGACATAATTTTATAAAAGTAATGCATTGTCACTATACAAAATTTATAAAATAATGAATAAAAGTTTACAATTCCATTACTCAAATGGAATTATTTTACATTTTATCTATCTTAGTATTTTTAAATATGTATATATTTTTAAATAGTAAATATAGGATCATATTATATATTACTGTTTCATAATCTTTTGCATTTAGCAACGTATTATAACCTTTGCTAATTATAAAATTAGTCTATGTCAGAAAACTTGTGAAAATAAAAATTACCCGTAATCACACTGCCCATTAATATTTTGGTTTATTGACAACCTTGTTTTCTTCACATGCCCTATTCTGATGGTTACTTCACTAAACCAGTTGTTTTTTTTTTTTTTTTTTTTTTTTTTTTTTTTTTTTTTTTTTAAATACATTTTATTGATTTTGTACAGAGAGGAAGGGAGAGAGATAGAGAGCTAGAAACATCGATGAGAGAGAGTCATCAATCAGCTGCCTCTTGCACAGCCCCTACTGGGGATATGCCCGCAACCAACGTACATGCCCTTGACCGGAATCGAACCCAGGACCTTTCGGTCCCCAAGCCGACGCTCTATCCATTGAGCCAAACCAGTCTCGGCCCAGTTGTTTCTTGTTGGAAATTTAGGTTTCCTGCTTTTCACTATTGTATTAATAATGCTTTAGTGAATATCTTTATACAAAAATTAATGTTTCTTATTACTTTAGTATAAGTTTATGTAAGAATCACTGAAGCAGCCCTGGCCAGTGTGGCTCAGTTGGTTGGGCTTTTCCTGGCACTGGAGGGTTGCCTGTCCAATTCCTGGTCAGGGCACATGCCCAGGTTTTGGGCTTAATCCCTGGTAGGGCATGAAGGAGGCAGCCAATCAATGTCTCGCTCTCACATCAATGTTTCTCTCTCCCTTTCCCTGTCTCTAAAAACCATTAAATGTTAAAAAGAAAAGAAAAGTAAAAAAGAATTACTGAAGCAGAGGATATAATTCTTAAAGGTTCTTTTTAAAAAATACATATTTTTATTGATTTCAGAGAAGAAAGGAAAGGGAAAGAGAGAAACATCAATGATGAGAGAGTCATGGATCAGCTGCCTCCTGCACACCCCCTCCTGGGAATGGAGCCCTCGACCCGGGCTTGTGCCCTGACCAGAAATTGAACTGAATCGAACAGTGACCTTCTGGGTTCATAGGTTGAGGTTCAACCACTGTGCCAAGCTGGCCAGGCTTTTAAAGGTTCTCTATATACTTGGCTAATTTGCTCACTAAAAAGGTTGTACTAGTTTACATTTTTATAAGTGCTTGTGTTTACCGCATGTTTGATAGCAAACTAATTTTTAGAAACCCTTTTAATATATAGGCAAGAATATTTTCATTGTTTTAATTTTATTGTGATATTGGCAAGGTCAGACATTTTCTATATATTTACACATATTTATGTTGTATATATTCATATATTGTTTTATAAAATTTAAATTATGTCTGTGTTCATTTTTCTATCCAGGTGTTCTTTTTATTGAATTGCTAAGGCACATCTACCAATATTTTCCTCCATTTTGTCATTAACCTTTTCCTTTTATTTATGGTGATTTTGTTGGTTTTTACAGTTCAGGAGCTTTTAGAGGGTTTATGTAATCAAATCTGTCAGGCTGTTCCTTTATATTTCCTTTGTGGGTAGACACCTCCTTCACCCTAGGAGCAACAAAAATGTCTGCCTATATTTTATATGGCTCTATTTGGCATTTTTTACATTTAACACTTGAATTGATGTTGGTTTATGGTTTGAGATTCAAGGACCTGTTTAACAAATGTTCAGAGTTATCACAGAGTTACACGTTAGAGCCCCACCACTGCCATCTGCGATGTCTCTGGTGGGTATGGGGACGTGAGCAGACTGTGAGGCTGGTGGATGTACTCTCCAATCTCCCAGCCTGAAGGGCTGGGAGAGGCACAGGCTGACATGTGGCTCCTAGAGTGTCCCTATATAGACTCGCCCAATGGGGCCTGGGGCCTTGATAAGAATTCTGGTTGCAGGCATGGAGCTGAACCCTGGATCCAGGCAGTCTGTTCAGTGACAGGCCACTCACTACTCTGGGCTTTGCATAGTCCTCTGAAAGGGCATCCGTTAGAGTGCAGGTAGCTGATCTCTTGGGTTTTAAAGACTTGATCTGCAGCCTTGCTTTTAGGTATGAGCTTGGCTTGCTGGGACAGTAGAACTTAGTCTTTTCTGGGGGGCACCGATTGCATTCCAGCCCTGAACCCTGGGAGGGGCCTTCCCTATCATCAACACCCCCCACCCCAACTGATCCAGCTGGCTCTTGACTCCTTTTGTAAGACTTTACCTTTCTCTACTGACTTTGTTCAGTCTCACTCCCAAGGTCTGAATTAGTTTACTCTACGGCCACAGCTTCCTTCCCCGCACCCCTCCAGAGGACTAACTGAAGCCCTCATCCTTTCCCTTGTGCCTTTTCCCACTTTATCAGCTTCCTCCTTCCTAAGTCATCCACATCCTAAGTCTCTAGCTGCACAGTGGCTAGCCTCTTTGGTTTCTCAGAAAAGTTCATAGTGCCTGGTTCCTCCCTCTTTGCTTTTGAACTGCATATCTTTCCTTATTACTCAGTGTCCACACCCAGGGCGGTTGCCTGGATAAAAATCTGCCCCTTCCCCCAGTCACCTTTTTAGGCCAGCTCCCCCTGAAGTATCCCTGTCTACCCGGGTCCAGTTAGGAACTCTTAATTCCTCAGAGTGGCCTGAGGCAGTGCAGTGTCCTCTGAGATCCTCTGCTTTGCCTTCTCACTCATTTGCTAAGCTTGTTTATTGAGCACCACTGAGCAGAGTTAATGCTATTCCTGTCTTTAGCCTGGAAGGAAGAGGTTATCTCCCTATCTTCAGGACTCTGGACTCACTACCCTCGCTGGCCTGTTTCACATAGTCCGAGGAGAACCAGGCCACCTCTCTCCCAGCTGACACTGAGCAGCTTTGAGACATCTCTTGGGAGTTTGGACTCAGTGATCTCAACTCTTCCAGTTATGACAACGTGAGAGGCAATGAAGAGGGGAAAGTACATGGATGGCAAGGTGGAACTTGATGGTTCCTGTTTCATAGGTTCAGGAAAGGTCCTTTGACAACTCACCAGGAGTGGAGGATGGTAGGTAAAGACTTAGATGGGAGAGCCCACTTCAGTGATGATTGAATGAGTATGTACTCCCTTCAGATTCACCTCTATTAAAATAATTCAAAACCCTGGTCATCATTCGTTGTAGGCTTATCAGGAATCAGGTTCAGCTGGCTAACCCTACTTTAAATTCACTTTTTTCTTATTCCTTCTTATAAAAAATATTGTTATTGGGGACCCTAACCTTCTGAAATGAGTATCTCAGTACTCTGAGTCTTTATGTAATCATATGATGCTGTGCTACTTCCAGCGCGTGGTAAAGAGCAAAGCTAACCTTTTGCGGGTATTATATGGAGTTCTGCTCTGTGACCTTTACCCCACTCTGGCTTACCAGAGGATCAGCTGGCCTTGGCTACAAGGATACCCAGCCCAGTGCTGGCCCATGGTAGGCACACAATAAATATTTGTTAAATGAATAGTGTCTGGTGTGTCTCTGGGTGGACTAGTCGTCTGCTGCTTCCTCTTCCTCTCATAGCTGACTTTCTCTTTCTGGTCTTGTTTTAATTATGATAGGTGGGAAGCTCCCTAAAGCCACTTGCAAAATTTCAGAGGTCAGGCATGGACTGTTAGGACACCTGGGATCTAGTCTGGATGCCTGTTTATATGGCTTTGTCGGGGTAAGTGGGGGGCATGGGAGAGAGTCTCATTAGGAGATGTCTCTAGCTCAGCATATTAAAAAGTTGAGGGGTTTGATCTGGGCATTAGGGTGCACACGCCTGGAGAAGGAAGATTGAAAATAGAAATCTCATGAAAAGCACTCATTGATGGATGATGGCCCAGGTTTCTTCTGCCACAAAGGTATTAATTGATTTATGGTCCCTCTGAGCACCTAGAAGGCACAAAGAAACTTCAGAACAACTGTTTTTGAGATGCCTGGGCTTTGGATCATTCCCAAAATGTGCTAACCTTTCTGCTAAAACATAAAAAATAATTTCCCATTCCATTGAATGAATACAATTGGCAGCTTCTACCTTAGTTCCACCCCCTTGGGACAGGAAGCTGAGGCTAAAACATTAAACAGCCCTTCTGTTCACTCCCCTCTCCTTTTATTCCTCATCCATTACCTTGACAGAGATACCTGCTCATTCCCCATCTAGGGGAATCTTAGTTGGTGAAAATAAATCTGTTTGATCATTTTTCTGTGGGCAACTCTAGGCCCAGAAAGAGCCTCCTTTCTGAACTCTTGCTTTTGCCTGACATCCCCTGGCTGCTGTCCCCACATGACCCAAATAAACAGATGATCATGTGAAGCCAGTAAGGCTGTTTGTTTTAAATAGCAAGCATCTCCACTAAGCTCTGGAGCAGATGGGGTATTGGGGGCAAGGGAGAGACTGGCATTTGAATCTGTTCACTTTTATCTCCTGCTTCCCCATTAAAGAAAAAGTGTCTTTAGAATATTACTTAGCAAAGTGGTGCCTTCTAAATATGAAAGAGCTGGCCCTGGCAAGAAGAGTCGGGAACATTGGACTTCAGCCTCTAGAAGAGTCTTCGAGAGCTGAATGTGTGCCGTGACTGCCTGAGGAAGAAGGGGATGGCAGATGTAGCTCTCTGAGCATCCTGGGTCACTGGGCAGAATGGTCCAGTGCCTACCCCAAACACAATGAGAACTTGGTCAACAACGTTATTTCAGTCCACTATTAGGTATACTGTGTACCTCCCCTCCTCCCCCATCACATACACCTATAGATTGCCTTTAAACTTGCCATGTTCTTTAGTTTTGCAGTTGGCCAGGCCCAGTAACACTGGTAGCAGGTTGCAGGCACCTCAAAGGAAGCAGTGTCAAAACCAGCACAGATCCAGCCCTTCCAGGAAAAGGGTATTTACTCATCCTATGGAGAACTGGGATGTTCGTTTCCAGCTTCATCATAAACAGCCAGTGGCATCCAGGCTTTTTTGTGTGGAAAGGTCAGAGTCCTTTGTAGATGTGCTGGGAAACAGCCCCTTTCCTCTCATTGACCAGGATCTGTGTAGATTTTTTTTCCTTTATAGATTGATTTGAGAGAGACATTGATTTATTGTCCCTCTTATTTATACATTCATTGATTGATCCTTATATGTGTGATCGAACCCACAACCTTGGGATCCAACTCACAACCACTAGGAGGGAGCTGTAACCAGCTGAGCTACCGTGTTTCCCCAAAAATAAGACCTAGCGCATGGAAAGATAAGACATCCCCTGAAAATAAGACCTAGCGCAACTTTGGGAGAAAAAATATAAGACCCTGTCTTATTTTCCGGGAAACGGGGTACTTCATCAGAGCATGTGCAGATTTTATTTCCCTCAAAGGTAAGGAGCAAAGCCTATGTACCAGCTTTCAATGGGTCTAGCCCTCTTCTAGTCCCCTAATTAAGAATTTATCCCTCTAAGGTCCAGTGGGGATGGAAGGCAATGGATTGGCAGGGTGGTTGGCCAAAGAGAGCTCCTCATAAAGGTTTGCTTTTTGGTTTTGTATGATGGTGATGCCCAGGCCATGGGATCTTAAAACCAAATGACATTGTCCCACTGCACTGGTTAACAAAGAAAGAAAGCTGTGGCCAGGACTGAGAGGGCCCAGGCCCGCTGGCATTGGGACAACAGAGCTGAATGTGCACCACGGTGCTTCTAATATGCCTTCAGCAGGCCTGTGCGATGACTACAAACTACCTGGGTTTCTGCAACTTCCTCCAAAGCAGAACAGCAGGGTTTCAGGTAAAGATTTTCGTGGTTCTTATCACGTATTAAATGGTCAAACTCCTCCCCATGGGAGCAATTTGGTATTCCTCCTGGACTTTTTTTTTCTAATTGGGGACCCTGCCCTATAACGGCCTGCAAGAATCATCTTGGGGTCAGGAATAAATGCTCTCTACGAAGCAACTGGAATACTGAGTCCTTTCTAGTTTCTAGGCCTGTTTCTTTACCTGCAAGATGAGGATTTGGCCAAGCTGCCCTCAGAGTTCTAGCTTTCTGATTGCACCCCCCCAAACACCAGCGCCAGAAGCGGCGGTAAGAAGGATGCCCTCTGGAGGGGTGGGGGCCAGATGGGGGAAGGCCAGCCCTTTGGACGACCCCGGTTGAGGCTGGGCCAAGAGGCCCTTCCCCCGCGCCCCGCCCGCGGCCTCTGGCCCAGCCGCCGGGAGGGCCGGGCTTCCGCCCTCCACGTTCTTGTTCCCGATTTGGGCCACGCCCCCCTTGGTCCGGGCTCGGGATGCCTCGCTATAACCGCCCCGCCCGCGACCCAGAGTAATGGGTGGCTTATGGGGTGGCACAGTTTGAGCCTCCACCCACATCAGAGACCAGTGGACAGAGTTAAGGGGAAGGAGAGGGAGATACTTTTAAAGAAAGGCTAGTGAAAACTCAAGGTTAGGCCTTAGGGCACAAATGCGGAATTTCAGTCCGACGTTCCATCTCCCGTTCACACAGTAGCCCCATCCGCACCTGCGAAAGTGACCCTGCTAAACACTGGCCCTTTAAACAGAAGGCCGGCGGTGCGGGGTGTCCATGTGGAGCTGCTCCATGCCGTGTTGTCCTGCCCGCCCATTGGCCCGTGGCCCGATGACGTCGCCTAATAGAATGCTAACGCACTGCGGGGGGAGGAATGGAGACAAAACGCGGCATCGGATCGCCACTCCGCTCCCTCCAAGTTCTCCGGCAGCCTCCGGCTGTCAGCTCCGCCCAGGGGCGGGTCCCGGGCCCGATTGCGACAGCCCGGTGGTTGCAGGAATTAGGTCACGTGTGGGTAGGGAGCGGAGAGCCAAAGATCAGGCCGGTCTCTACTATCCTGTTTCCTTGACCTAAAATGTCCTTATTTGAGCTACTTAAGTGATGAATTTTCCACCTTTCCTTCCCTCCAGCAGGACAAATTACGTTGTGAATGATCCAAACACACAGCCACAACCCTGGTTCAACTTGTGGCATACAATCGGGGCGGGGCGAGGCGGGAAAGCGGAAACGAAGGGCGCGAACCCGGCCCGAGCTCCCACCCCCACCCAGGCCACGTGTGCTCGCGCCGTAAGTGGGTGGGGACTGCTGGCTCCCGACCCCGCCCCTCCCTCCGTGAGACGCCGCGGCCCTGCGGGTGGGGGCTCCGGTCCGGGCTTTGGCTGCGGCCCCGGTGTAGTAGCGGGGGCGGCGGCCGGGGGTAGCGCGGCTCCTTCCCTTGTTGTGTGTGTCGGTGCCTCCTCGCCATCTTGTTGCAAAGCCTTTTCTTGTCGGCGGGACTCCCGGGGGCCGCGGGGCGGGAGGCAACAGAAGGAAGGAAGAGAGGGAGGGGAAGGAAGAAGGCAGTGCCGCCTTTTTTTTTTTCTTTGCACCAAATTATTTTAAATTTGCAAATTATATTTTGCAAACATTTTGGGAGACATTGATTTTCCTGCCCGTGCTCCCCCGTTCTTGCCTGCCGAGTGCGCTGCGCCGCCCAGCCCTGTCGCCCCCCGGAGGTGATCCCTCCCTCCTGCCTGCCCGCCAGCCTGTCCTGTGCCTGGCTCGCGGGCCGCAGTCTTGGCCCCGGCGCGCCCCCGGCAGCTCGCAGCGCGATGAGCATAGAGACGCTCCTGGAGGCGGCCCGCTTCCTGGAATGGCAAGCGCAGCAACAACAGAGAGCACGTGGTGAGCGGCGGGGCTGGGCCCCTGGGGCACCCGGGAAGGGGAGGCGAGCGACCCGGGTCCCCGAACCCACGCCGAAACCGCGGACAAGCCCCCTCCCGGGCGGCCCGCGATGCCAGCAGCGCTCGTCGCAGGAGCCGCCGCCCGGGGAGGGAGGAGTGTTGTGGGCAGGGAAATTAATGACTTCATTAGCATGCAGCGAGGGGCCCGGCTCCCGTGAGCGACACCCCAGGTGCCTGCCACCTCGTGCGCGTCTTTTGTGGGGCTCCCTTCGCGTGGGTCAGTGCGCCCTCGAGGCTTTGGATATGTGAGAGCCGGGGGTGGGGTAAGCAGTGGTGTTGCGTGGGGATGGCAGACCGGTGTGTGCGTGTGTGTGTGCACGGGGGATGTTTGATGGGAGCCTGGAGGGGAGCGGATGAACGGACGTGTCCATGGGCGAGTGTACAGTGCACACGAGTGGGCGTGAGTGTAACGGAGTGTGGGGTAGGAATTACTCTACGCGGAGCAACTCCCCAGCTCCCCTCGCCTTATGGGGCGGGGGCGGGGGGCACTCCCGGCAGATCTACGCGCCGCTGGGGCGGAGGCGGCCTTTGCAGAATGAAATGACATCGCGTGTCTTATGATCCGGGCCAGCCCCGCCTGACCCCGCCTCCCGGAGCTCGGGCTGGGTCTATCGTCCCGGGTTTGGGTGAGAGCCGGCTGATTGGGCGTTTGAAAGACGGCCCGCCGGTCGCTGGGGGCAGCCCCGGGGCCCCCCTTTCCGCGCCCCACTTTAGCCGGTGTGGAATGTGGCGTGTCTGCGCCTTCCAGACCCGCTTTCGGCTGGAATGTTGC